AGTTCTTACAATAAAAGGCCTATTGACTAGAAAGAATTTTTTAAAAGAGAAATGTGAACTGGAGAGGGCAGGAAGGAAAATGTGTAACAATGGATGACTGGAAATCCAAGTTCTTGGTAAACTTTTGTTTAACATCTCAATTAATTTTTTTTAAAAAAAGAATACCATATAAATTGAATTCTAGACTATGTAACATTTTGAGACTGACTTTTTCTCAGCCTCTTGATATCTATTTAAATTGTTATGTGTTCATTTCTTTTTTTCAGAGTTGTCTTCTATGGTACTGATGTACCAATTTGTTTATAGAATCATTTGTTGAAATATATTTTAACTATTTAAGCTCTTAAAAAGAAAAGAAATGTGCTTCTTATTATGCTGCTCCAGAATGTTGGTCCTGGGGTGTGCCTGTGTTAAAAAAATAATATCTTGGGAAAGAGATGCATTTGTAAATAGTTAATAAGATCTGGATTGAAACCATGAACATTGCAGAAATGAATTATGAGTATGTTTGTGCTTTCATAAAAGGAATTCCAAGAGTTATTCTAGAAACAAGTGTTCTGTTTTTCTTAAGATAAACAGCTTGCTTGCTGGAAAATAAAGCACTTAAGAGTGGATGGAGCTCTAAGCTCCTTGCTCCTTGGCTTTGTCTCTGTCTCTTATTTCCAAAGCCACCCAATCCTCTTTCAAAAAACTTTACCTGTTGACCTGAACTCAACATAATATGTCTCCTGATCTCCTGACTGCTGGTACTAAGGGAGTTGATTGTGGATACAAGCAAGATGATTGTATACAAATACACATACACACAACACATATACACATATGTTTTCAAGGGTCTGTTGTATCAGAAGTAGATAACAAGGTCCCCTCCTTCCTAGTCTTTCTTAGCCTGGAAGCTGCTGAAACCTGTTCACCATGGGTATTGTGCTGGAATTTAAAAGACTAGCAACACATTTTTCAGCATCACAGTAACACATAAGCCACCATAGTACAACAAATTGACAGAAGCCTTTGAATTGTGATACTGGCAAAAAAATATTGACTATACCGTTTACTACCAAAGTAACAGGTTTTGATGAATATAAACAGTTAAGATTGCTTTAATTCATCCTGAAATCAAACAAACAGAAATTCCATCAGATTTTCTGTAAGTCTCTGGCTTTCAACAGTGGCTGTAATTAGAATAACCATGTCTAGAGAGCAGAAAATGGGGCATAGAGGCACAGAGCCTTGAGCATTTCTCTGAAAGGGCCAGAGTGAGAGAGAATAGCACAGCTCCTCACTGCCCCAGAGCAGAAAGCTCCTCACTGCCCATAGCCCAGCCCCATGGTGCCTCTAGAGCCACACCAGCAGCAAGAGGTTCACTTATCCATTGTTGACTCATAGACTGTGGTACCAAGAGTGGAGTTTATTAGGGAAATAAGCTGAAGAGTGTGGAAGGCAAAGAATATCACTCAATGCAAGTCCAGGTTTAGTCCAACAGTCCCAAGCCAGATTAACAGCAAAACACAATTCCTTAATTAGCAAAAGTCCTACTTTCAGTTCAGCAACACAAATTCAAGAAGCCTCAATCATCCAGCAAAGTTTGCCTTAGAGCAATTTATAAGTCAGTTTCTCCTTCAATCATCTGGTAATAACAGCAAAAACTCTACCTGTAGCCAGCACAAATGCAAGAAGCTCAGGTCACACCTTGCTACAGTCTCTCCACAGCAGTGGCACAGTCCTTCCACAATCTCTCCACCACTGCCATCACTGGGGTCTCATTTCAGTCTCCGTCAAAACTTGCTACTCATTGTTGGAAGCGCTCTCGCACTCTCACTCTCTCTCTCTAGCTCTCTCTCCCCCCACCTTTCTCTCCCTCTCTTATTCTAGTCCCACAGCTGCTGCTGATTTGCAAGACCGTGTGTCTGAAGTTAAGGTAACTGGCGACCAGAGGGGGTTAACGTAATGGCTAGAAAAGCCAACTTTTAAGCTATTATCAGAAACTATATAACCTATCATGTATGCTGTGCAAGTTTAAGAATGAATGGAGAAGCTATTCATAATTATTCCAGGGCAAAGACGAAACTAGCAGCTATCATAGGCAAATCAGAATGTATCTGACTATAATTATACAATAATCCACAATCGCTGTTTGACTACAAATTAACAGTAGATGACATTAATGGCTGATTCTTGGGGATGCTGAAGAAAGGAGGTTGATGAGTCAGATAAAGTAGGAAGGAATGAAAATAAGAATCTTATAGAATCACAGGAAGAAGTACTGTGGTGCTGGCTAGTAAGTTTCCTAGTCAGGACAGAAGGCATAGGTTAAGGCAATTTAAGGTTCAGAGAAGAACCAAGAAGCAAGAAGAAACACAGATATATTAAACAAAGAATGCTGTTGTTAGTTGCTATGGAGTTAGTGATCTTATATAGGGCAGAACTGGTTTTTTTTAATCCACTTCCATGCCTTTTGGCAAGCGCCTATTGTGCCAGTCCATCTCATTGAGGGTTTCCCTCATTTTCACTATCCCTCCACTTTATCAAACATAATATGCTGTTCTAGCAAAAACAGAGAATAGAAAAACACTGACTGGGCTTTTAAACACCAGCATATGTAAGACACACAGGAAAACAAAGAAAAGAGTGGTTCAGGTGCTATGGGGATGTAAAATTCCACCAGAATCAAGAACATAAAAAAAGAAGAACTTCCCAGTAAGTTCCTTCTAGCTCCCACTGGGATCAAGTTCTCCTCATGATGGGGATGAATGCTGCTCCCTTGTGACTGGAAATTCCCTGAGGTGGGTGATGTCTTCCCTGTTTTCAGAACACTTTTCAAAGTGAGAAGCTTAAGTACCTGAGGTAAAGGTGTTTCTCTCTTTTCCACATAAAGTCCCTAGTTGAACAAATCGTTAACACATTAATCTACCAACTGACAGGTTTGCAGTTTTAAGCTACCCAAAGATGCTTCAGTACAAAGCCTGATGAGCTACTTCAAAAAGTCAGCCACTGAAAACTGTACTGGGGCTACTATGAGCCAGAATCCACTCTCTGGCAACTGCATTCTCTATGCACTCTCTCAAGCTTTAGACTTTGTAGACAAGTGATGTCAAGTTATGGCTAGTGAACCATCTGACCAGCCTCTACAATGTGTCACCTCCAGAGGCCTCTTCCAATCCCTCCACTCCCTACTGAGAGTAACAGGAAATTATCTTTTCAAGGACTTTGGTTCTCTGGCCCTTTTGATCTCAGTTAACTGCTTTATATGCATACCTTTAATTAGTCCAAGGTTCAAGACAATCAGCCTAAATGTATAAGCAGCGTACATCCATTTGGTCTGAAGAGGTAATGAGGTAGGTTTGCCTAGCTGTTCTCTCTTTAAAATATTTGCTACATTCTAACTCATATTCTGTTTTTAAAATTAATTTATTTTCTTCTCTTTTCTCCCTACTTTCAGCTCCTCCATGTAACCAGTACTCTTTGACCTCTTTCCCCCTTGCTAGAATCAGTGTTCACAGCCCAACTCTGTCTGTGGTTTTCAGAAAACTCTTCTGGCAGACTCAATACAACTTTTCACAGACTGAATACGGCCCTCCTGCTCCATCATGGCCAATACAGAGCTTATCAATACACTGCAGGAGGAAGTCATCTGTCCCATATGCATAGAAATCTTGCAGGACCCTGTTACTATCGACTGTGGACATAACTTTTGCATGAAATGCATCACTCAGAGTGGGGAGACACCAGACAATTTACTCAAATGCCCCCTTTGCAACAAAACTGTGAAGAGGGACACACTGAGGCCCAACTGGCTATTGGTGAATCTGGTGGAGAAAATCCAAGCCATGAGCCCTGTTGAGGTGCATCCACAAAGGAATGATCTGAAATGTCAGAAGCACCAAGAAAAGTATCATTACTTCTGTGAGTATGATGGGATGTTTCTCTGTACGGTGTGTTGTAACTCCAAGGAACACAAATCTCATCAATTCAGCTTGATAGAAGAAGCTGCACAAAAGTATCAGGTAAGCATTTGGGGTCGTTCCTCTGTCCACCTATCAGATCAAGGGTTGGTGAGGACACAAGGGTTGGGTTTCCACACTGTGGACTTCACCCTTTACAACTGAGTGGGCAGTGTAGTGTCAAGCAGGGTGGGTACTTTGAGAGTCTCATCTCTGGTCTATTATTTAATTCAAAGGTCTGAAGTCTTTTGAGGTCAAAGCATAATGGACCATTGAAGAAGAATGGGATTTTGAATCAGAAAGTTTTGTTTCAAGTCCAAACCCTGAACTTTCTGTAAGACATTAGTTACTTTACCCAACTCTCAGTTTTCTTATCTTTGAAATAGGGGGAAAGAGAACTGAATAGAACTTACCTCTACAGAAAGTCTGATAGGACAAATGTGGAAAAGTCTGTGGGAATCCTTTATTAATCTCAAAGCACCATTCAAATAAGCATAATTACTCACAAATGACACATTCTTCTCTTGTGGGTCACTGAGGCCCCAAATTTCTTCTGCTCCACCATGCCTGCCCTAAGTGTCCTCCATTTTCACCTACCCTCTTGAGAGAGTAGGGGGTTTGTGAAAGGCCAAGGCAACTTCCTGGTATAGCTTACCAAACAGACCTCTCCCCACAGGAAAAAATTCAAAGCGAACTGAAGGCCTTGGAGCAAAAGGCAAAGACAATAGGAGAAGTGAACACACAAGGCAGACAGAGGATCAATGTCTTCATGGTAAGAAAATGCCCAGATGTGGGTCTCTCTGTTACACAGCACTTGGTCTCAGACACATCTTCTGCCTTAAATACCTAGGATTCCGGCCCCCCTCCCCGCTCCAACTTTATAATGTTTCTGTTTATTTGTACTTCATCAGAAGTTTTGCTTTAAATTCTTTTTTTTTTCTTTTTACTGGTTTACTTATAAATTTCGTATACATTGCTTTTCACACAGATTATTTCCCTTTTCTTTTACCCACACCTAATGGAGCTCTGGTGGCCTAGTGGCAAGAAGCTGCACTGCAATCCCAAAGGCACGCAGTTCGAGGTCACCAGCTGCTCCGCAGGAGAAAGATGGGCAATCCCCTCCCATATGGTTAACCGCCTCTGAAAACCTGCTGGAGAGTCAGCTATAGGTCGGCTCCAGCTCGATGATACACAACAATACACTGACTTTTATTACACTGACTGCTCAGGAAAAGATCCAGCAATAAAGAAAAGTGAACCAGAATGGGACAGAGTATAGAAAGGGCAGGTGGAGGGACAGAAAAACTAGTGGCAGCTAGAGAGGATGTGTTCACACTTTCTCTTCCATGTGTGTCTTTTCTACAATAGCACTATATGTCTAGCCTTGTGTTATTACAGTAGGTTGACCTACTACAAGATCCTTCCTGGAAATAGTGGTATGGCTTAACATGAGAAATAGCAATTTTAAGACTCACTTCTGGCTCTTATAGGCTGTTCCTTAACCAGAGACTGATTCTTCAGTTAGAAAACAAAGACCATCAGTCTCTACCCAACATCTTTCCTATTCTGTGTGTGTCTGTGCCAAAGTGAGGAGTATGTTGCATCTTTGTGAAAGGACATTATAAATCGAAAAGTTGATGGAAATGTAAGATAGGTGTCGAGATTCATATCCTTGAAGGAAAATATTAAATATAAATAATCTAGCCTCCAATAGCCTGCACTGGTAATAAAGGCTTTAAAAAAGGTTTGCTTTGCCCAACTTTCCTTTTCTGAGTCTGCTCCAGAACATTGTTCATATTTACAATATGTTGTTGTTGTTATGTACCACCGAGTTGCTTGCGACTCATAGCGACCCTATGTACAACAGCCCTAAATTCTGCTCTATCCTGTACCAATCGCACTGTCTCTGACACACCCATCCCGATTACCCAGTCACTGAATCAATCCACCTCACAGAGGGCCTCCCTCTCCTGCACTGCCCCTCCACCCTCCCAAGCATGATGTCCCTCTCCAAGGACTGGTCCCTCCTTACAACATGTGCAAAGTATGTCAGACAAAGCCTCAGAATCCTTGCCTCCAAGGAGCCGCTGGTTTAACCCTCTCCAGGATGAACCTGTTTGTTTTCTTAGCAGTCCATGGTACATTCAATACTGTTCTCCAGCACCACAGCTCAAAGGCATCAATTCTACTTCTATCCTCCCTAGTCATTGTCCAACTCTCTGACACATAAGAAGCGATTGCAAAGACCATGGCCTGTATCAGATGCACCTTAGTCTCCAGAGTGACACCACTGCTCTTTAGTACTTTGGAGCGGTCCCTAACAGCAGACTTTCCTATCACAGTACATCTTTTAATACATGTCAACTTAATTAAAAAGGAAAGATTGGGTAAAATGGATGAGAGCCTTGAAAAAGAAAATACACAGATATTTATTTTTATTTTAATAAAAATTAAAAAAACTTAGTTGCTCAAATTAATAAGCTGAAATATTCCTTGGTATATTTCATGCACAGTTTGAGGGGAGAGCATCTTTATGTTGTCAAATGGATCAGGTCAATTCTTGCCCTTAGTATTATTAAGTGCATGGAGACCACCTCCTTTACAGATTTAATCACTGTGGAAGAAGAAGAAGGGGGGAAAAAAGTGGGGAGAGGGGAAAGGGTTGTGGGAAAAGAGGGCAGCCCAGGCTGTTGAAATTTTAGAAACTGGCAAATAACCTTTTGTGTAAAATCTTTTAAGTTCAAAATACAGAGATGGCTCTTTTAACTACGCTTTTTGATTCCACAGCTGCTGCCATTTAAATGCTAAATAAGGGATTTCTACAGTCTAAAAAAAAAAATTAAAAAAACTTTTTATACAAAGTCCTTAGATCATCCTCTCATCTCCTGAGGGTGCATTCTCCTCCCTCCAGGCCCTGGTGGAGCATGAACGACAAAGGGTCATCACAGAATTCAAGCACCTGCATCAGATCCTGAATGAGGAGAAGAAGTTCCTCCTGTCACGACTGGCCTGGCTGAGTCAGGAAGGAGCCAAGGGAAGCCACCTCTTCGCCACCTCCACCGAGGCGCAGCTGATTGCTCTCAATAAGATTGCTGATAACTTGAAGGCCAAACAGCAAATGTCGCCCAGTGACATGCTCTGGGTGAGAGAATCTTGGGGGGTTGAGCTGCAAGAAGGGGCCAGTTCATCCTGAATTACATGTCAGAACACGAACATTTTCCCAGATATCTCTTTGTTGCTGTTGTTAGTTGCCATCAGTCTATCCCAACTCATGGTGACCCCAGTGTGCAGGGGAGAACTGCATTCCATAGGATTCTCTAGGCTGTGACCTTTGGGAGCAGATTGCCAGATCTGTCTTCCAGGCACCACTGCGTGGATTTAGACTGTCAATCTTTTGTCTAGGAGTACTGAGATGATCCCAATCATTCCACCTCTAGCCCAGTGCTGTCTGTCCAAGAGAACTCTAATGCTAGCTACATACATACTTCAGAAATACATTTTAAAGCATTGCTATTGTTGCTGTCATGTGCCATCAAGTTGGAACTGACTCACAGATGATCATCCTACAGGGTTCTGGAGGCTGTCAACAACACAGCAGCAGCTTTCTTCCTAGGAGCAGCTGGTGGATTGGAACTGCATGGCTTTAGGCTGGCAGCACAACTCCTTACCCACTAGGCCACCAGCATTCCCTACTGCAAAGCACATATGTAATAAACTAATTTTTTCTGGTAGTCACATTTTAACAAAGATTTTTTAAAAATAGATGAAGTTAATGTTAATACTATATTTTTATTTAACCTACTATATCCAAAGTACTTGAAATTGATAGCCAACACTTAAAACTGTTAATGAGCTATTTTACTTTTTTTTTTTTAATTGTTGTCATGTGCCGTCAGGTCACTTGAGACTCATAGAGACCCTACGTACAACAGCTCTGAATCCTGTTCTGTTCTGAACCAACCTTATAGTCTCTGACACACCAACCCCCCATTACCCCAGTCACTGAATCAATCCATCTCATTGAGAGTCTTCCTCTCTTGCGCTGCCCCTCCACCTCCTTAAGCATGATGCCCCACTCCAAGGACTGGTTCCTCCTTGCAACATGCCAGAAGTATGTCAAATGAAGCTTCAGAATGACATTTTTTTTACACTGAGTTTCAAAATCTGATATAAGTCTTACACTTTGGCCCCATCTTCATTGACTGATAAATTTTCAAGGGCTAAAGTAGAATGTGGTCTCACCAAATCACTAAAATAGAGTTTAATGGAAGTTAAAGGGGAAACAAAAACCCCCACTCCTTCTGTTTTAAAGTTTCAATTTGTGAAAATGCAGTACATTTACGAATTCACATCCTCACAGTACTAGCTAAGTCCTCAGTAGCCACATGAGACACACTGGGTTTAGCTGGTACTCAAAAGAAGCTGAGATCACCCATGAATTTACCTCCCATTCCCACCAGGTCAAGAAGCCATTTCTCTCTTTCAAGAATTACCTTGCAAATTCATTGCAGCCCTCCACCTTCCCTCCCTGCTCCCATACAAGCAAGACTTCCGTGGTTCAGTCTCAGACAAAATACCTCTTCAAAAATCACATTCCCTTTTCCTTCATCTCCATTCAGTTCCTCTCGAAGTCTACTAATTTCCCTACCCGCTGGCATATCCCTTCATAGATATGGGGAAGGGAGGGGGGGGCTTCTCCCCCATCTGCTCTGTCTTCCACCAAACTGGGCTTTACTCTTTGGCTGCAAAGAATCAGCCAAGGGGTGAGGCTGTGCTGTTTCTCCTTCTCTTCTAGGACATCAAAGTCATTTTATACAGGTATGACGGGCCATCTCAAATACATCTTATACATTGATTGATTCATACTCTAATGTTCAACATGTACTAATATGATTCTTTCACATGCCCACCTCACAAATGTCCATGCATGATATCACATTACGGCTAACTACTTCAGCTATAAAGAAAGGCGCAACCAAGTGGTTTGGTTGTGAAAGAGCAGAGCTGCTTTCTCTAGTTTCTTGGTTCTTCAGTATAGAGCTTCCTATTTTCTGGCAACTCTTGCATGCTCTTTTGCCCAAATGGACTGTTGGGTCCCCTGCTCTGTCACTCTGGCCCCTGCATTTCCCTGTGCCCCATCTCAATCTTTGTCTCACATTCCTCACTTAGACCTCCTCACTCGCAGCTCCCTCTCCCGGTTCAATCCCTATCCCACAACTCCACCCTCCGGCTCCATCTCCTCCTCATGATCCTGCCTCACCAATATTCCCCCTCCCTGCCTCTGATCCCCTCAATATCACCACATAGTTCAGCCCTGTCTTCTCAGGAGTCAAGGGTTTCAGTTTCTTCACCCGAATCCTGTTAATCCGGACTTGGAGAAAAAACTCACTGAAGCCAAATCAAGACATAGCTCCATCACAGAAATCTTCAAGAAATACAGAGGTAAGGAAAACGCCCTTACCTCCTCTGTCACCTTTTTCTAGGAGACTCTCTCTCCATCACTCCAGTAAAGTTGAACTGTAACTTCTGCGTGCCAGTTTAAATAAAAAAAAATCATTTACTGTAGAATTGATTTTTACTTATGCCAACTTCATGAGTGTCAGGGTAGAACTGAGCTCCACAGGATATCCAGTGATTTGTTTTGAGAAGTAGATGGATCACCAGGCTTTTCTTCCAAGGCACCTCTGGCTGGACTCTAACTTCCAATTTCTGATGAGCAGCCAGCCATGTTAATACTTCACAGCAACTTGGAGTTCCAAACCATCATCATTCCGTTACCATCAAGTTTAATCCAACACCTTTACTTTGGGGCCTGAATCATCACTTTTCAGGATTAGAAGACTCCCTTTCCACCCTCTACAATGGCTTGGGTAATGGTGATTCCAGTTTCTGTTAAAACATGAATGAGATCCTCATTCTATTTCTTGATTATAATCTCATATGTACTCTGATAAGTACCAGCTACTACGGAACTGACTCTGGTGGCCCCAGACAGTGTGTCATGTAGAACCTACAGAGGCCTTTCAGAAATGCCAGGTTTTCTGTCCAGCATTTTCCACACATCCACATGCCTTCTGCCAGGCATTCTACATTTTACTTCTCTGCCTCTCTTACTCCTGTGTGACTCACAGATGGTGGGACCTGGACTGGTGTCCCACAGCAACCCTCTTGCTAGCACAGTGGTTGTATAACTGGATGTTGGCCCTCAGAAGAGGCAGGGCCCTGTCATCTTTCTCAGGTCAGGTCCTTGGGACCTCTGGCTGATGTCTTTTGTTTCCCTGAAACACACTGAAGCTCTGCCTCTTCTTGATGACAAAAAGAAAATAGGTTAAAAGCCAATGAAATCTGGGGGAAATTCCTTTTCTAGACTTTCAGGGAAAGAGCGATCAGCCATAACCTGGACTCTTAACTTTTGGGTCAGATATTTCTCAAAAAAATTGTCTGGTTTGTCACTAAGAAAAGGTGCATTATGTTAGGAATATTGCATTAGTGCCTTTGTGCTGCTCAGAAATAACACAGTAGGTGGTTTCAAAGAACAGAAATGTATTTTTTCACAGCTTCAGAAGGTAGATACCTCACCATTTCGCTTCACTGTCTCCCCACAGATAATCTCCAGAGTGATGGAAAGAAGGATAAAAGCAGATTTGTCGGAAGCATGAATGAGACATTAATGAAAAGCTGTAAGTGGGGACTGATGGTTGACCTTGTTATTCAGGGAAAGTGAAAAAAAGCCAAGGTAAAGAACCGCGCTTCTGTGACTACATGCAGCCTAGCTGTGGGCAAAAGTCTATTGCTCAGCCAAGAGAAAACCAGGCACATGTAAATACTTTTTGCTATTTTAAACTTCAGTAACTCATTACAAGGGGTTTCCAGGTGGTGCAATTGGTAAAATGGTCAATTATCAACCAAAAGGTTGGTGGTTCAAACCTACCCAGAGATGTCTCAGAAGACAAGTCTGACAAGTTACTTCTGAGCAGTCATAGCCTCGAAAATCTCTGTATATACAGGGTTGCCATGAATCAGAATGCAATACCAGTAACAACAATAACAACAGCCCTCAAAACAGTGCCTAATTCTAAAACTCGAAGTTTTCGATAGCAATAAAGTATTTACAATATATTCCTTCACTCCTCAGAGAGAGTGAGGGGAAGGTGGGAAGACACGGCAGACACAGCTCAGTCTTTGAACTATTAGCTTCCCTTAGCCACAAACCTGTTTTCTGGGCAAACCTCTCTGGGTGTGAAGACAGGGCAACTAAGAGGATGGAAACACACTATAATATTGGCCTGATGACCAAAGTCATCAGAGTCAGTTCTGCTACATGACCTGGGAACACCAGAATGACTGTTTCTTAAAGAACCACTATGTTCAGTGACAGTGATAGTCAATGATTTCATTTTACTCAAACTGGCAACTAACACCCATGATAGCAGCAGTTAAAAATCAAAAGACATGTTACATTAAGGAAATCTGCTGTCAGGGGTCTCCCCAAAGTGCTAAAGAGCAAGGATGTCAGTTTAAAACTAAGGTGCACCTAATGCAAGCCATGGTATTTTTCATTTGTTTTCTATGCATCTGAAAGAGGGACAATGAATAAGGAAGACCAAAGAAGAGCTGATGTTTTTTGAACTGAGATGTTGGCCAGGAAGACTGAAATCTTGCCCTATCCTGTGCCATATTAATGATCTCTGCCACGCTCAAGACTACTGCAGTCACTGTGTCAATCCATCTTCTTGAGGGTATTCCTCTCTTTCACTAGAAAGATCCTACAAAGCATACCAGAAAGCAGGGGTGTGGCTGAGGGAAGCTAGTAGTGTTGACATTAAGATGCAATCCATCTTGGAGGCTGTATTCTTTGATCTTCTGCAACAAGTGCTTCAAGTTCTCACTTTCAGCAAAAAGGTTGGGTCATCTGCATTACATAGGATATTGATGAATCTTCTTTCACTCTTAATGTCACATTCTTCGAGAGTCCAGCAGCTCCAATAATTTGCTCAGCATACAGACTGAACAGGTATGGAGAGAGAATACAAACCTGACTCATTCCTTTCTTAATTTTAAACTTCATAGTGTTCCCTTGTACTGTTCGTACAACAGCCTCTTGGTCTTGGTATAGGTTTTGCAAGAGCACAATTAAGTGCTCCAGAATTATCATTCTTCTCAATGTTAGCCATAACTTGTTATGATCCACACCATCAAATGCTTTAGCATAGTCAATAGAGCACAGATAGACATTTGTCTGGTATTCTTTACTTTCAGCCAGAATCCATCTGACATCAGCAGTATCGCTGGTGCTAAGCCTCTTCTAAATCTGGCTTGAACTTCTGGCAGTTTCTTATCTATGTACTGTTCCAGCCATTTTTTAATGATCTTCAGCAATATTTTACCTGTATATGATATTAATGATATTGTTCGATAGTTTCCACATTCAGTTGGATCACCTTTCTTGAGAATGGGAACAAATATGGACCTCTTCCAAACCACTGGCCAGACAGCTGTCCTCCAAATTTCCTGGCATAGACTGGTGAACGCATCCAGGACTGCATCTGTTAGTTGAAACAAGTCAATTGGTATCCCTTTGATTCCTGGGGTCTTATTTTTTGCCAGTGCCTTTAATGCAGCTTTCATTTCCTCTTTCATTAGCATTGACTCCTGCTCATATGGCACTCCTGAAATGTTCCAGTGTCAGTCAATTCTTTTTAGTACAGTAACTCTGATCATTTAATACATTGCCCATAACATTATTTTCAATATTGCAACTCAAAGCTTGAGTTTTTCAGTTCTCTCAGCTTGAGAAATGCAGAGCATATTCTTCCCTTTTTATTCTCCAATTCCAGTTTTCTGGACATTCCATTATAATACTTTGCTTTGTCTTCTCAAGCTGTCCTCTGAAATTTTCTGTTAGCTCCTTTACTTAGGCATGTTTTCCTTTTGATTTGGCTTCTCGACTCTCTAGTGCAATTTTCAGTCTCTTCTAACATCCATTTTGGTTGTCTTTCTCCTCTGTCTTTGTAATGACATTTTGCTCTCTTCATGCATATCCCTGATGCCATCCCACAATTCATCTGGTCTTTGATCATTGGTGTTCAATGCAACAAGCCTATTCTTAAGATGATTTTGAAAATCAGGTGGATTCTCCAAGGTAGGTATTACTATCTGTAATACACAAGTATTGTTGTCATTATGGGCTGTCAAGTTGGAACCAACTCAGTTGACTCTCCAGTGGTTCAGAGACAGTAAATGCCACAGGAGACTGTCTTTCTCCTTGGTTCAGCTGGTAGATTGGAATCACCTGCCTTTGTCAGCACAACTCCTTACCACTAGAGCTCACTAATGGACAAATGAGATTCCCTTAAATCCACAAAGGTAAAAGATGTTACTCAGGTCATGGGGCTATTCAAAACTCATACTCATTGGTCAGAACCAACTTCTAGTTTACTCTTCAGTGGGTTTTCAGGAGGCTGTAAATCACATGAAAGGATGACCACCTTTCTCCCTCATCGTAGTTGGTAGACTTGAACCACGACAGAGGGGCTGCCACCTTTGGGTTAACAGCTCAACTGCCCTACAGATTAGGTCACCAGAGCTCCCCTATGTATTAATTAGATGGAAGAAACCAAAGTAGAAACCTTTTTTTCCAAAGCCATAAACTATATAATAAATGGATCAGATGCCAGAGAACCTGTGCGATTCTATCAGTGTTTCTCCATGAACAGAGGGACTGATGTTTAGAGAGGTTAAATCTTCATTGTGTTCCATGACTTGTGCTCTGCTGAATACTTAACATTTCGGGGCCCGGGAAGTACTGAAAGTCACATTTCTTGCTGTCACTGAGACAACCTGAAAGGTTTTCTATACTTACCCATGGATGTGGGACATTCGTCATTGAAAGCCACTGATTCTTGTTCTTTTTTATGATGGCAGCACATTAGTTTTCAATTTGCAACTTCTGGTTACTGTGACTGAAATTGGTTTTCTTTTCCCCAACTCCCAGGGAACCTATTTGGGAAAAATTCTGAAACAGACAAAACATTGGAGCCTTCCCAACCCTTTCCAGGTAAGAGTCCTGCCTCCTGACCCTGATGGCTTCCTATAGTACAGAAAAGGAATCTTTAAGACGGGGCATCAATATGTAAGAGAAAGTCCTGCTCCTTGTGCACCATCTAGCCCAAAGCACAGCTTGAGAATGCACAGAGCTGACCCTGCACGGGAAGGGTGCAGGCTAAGCTACATGAAGAACATTTGAACATGGAAGACCATGTTCTCTGATCAGAAATGAATGAATGAGAATGAATCTTTCCCATCCTGCCTAAAATGGAAGGGAATAAGAGAGAGCAGGGAGAGAGATTTAGAGATCATAAGGAGTGCTGAAGGATGGTAGAGAACTTTGGAGAAGTGGAATGTCTGTTCTTGAAAACTTCAGGTATCAGAGATGGGGGCAGGGGACAGTTCTCTAATCTATCTCCTTTCCAAATCACAACTCTTCCAGGATTTGCCCATCCCTAGTTTGTTCAGGTCCACATTCTTGAATTTCACTTTTACCCCTCCTGCTATATCTAGAACTCAGCAGGGGTTTGTGTCAGCAGAGGATTATTTTTGCCATGTCCCGCTGATTTCTCTTTCCTTCTCTCTCAAAAGGCAGTGGAACTGAACCAGCATCACCACATCCCCACCCAACTGGTCTAGCCAGGTCCTTGTCTACTCGGAAAGAACTCCCGCCACCTTTGCACCTGCCGCGAAACAGAATGTCTTATGTTGAGGTTCCTCGAAGCCGAAGCCGAAGCCGGGACAGCTCTAAAAACACAGGGAGCACTGGCCCCACCTGGAGGGAGGAGGTCAAGGTTCTAAGTAAGTGGCTAAGAGCAGTCCAAGGTCACTGTTGAGTGGATGAGCCATCAGCAGGGACCCTGAGGAGAAAGCTGGCTATCTAAGAGAGCGGAGGTAAAGACATAAAGAAGGGATGCGAATGTTCTTGTTCAAAAGAGAAAAGACAATGCCCTCCCCACACAATTCCAGACTCACATTTGGCTTCTCATTATTTTGATTTGGGTGCCCCCTGGTGGAAGTACCCATTGCTGTCTCCCATTTTTCTTTTCCTTTTCCTCTTTCTTAAAGTAACTATTAACGAGGCAGCAGTTTAATCAGGTGTCAGGCAATGAGTAAAACCTGCCAGAGTCACAATCTACCTACCCAGATTCACAAAGCTGGACACTGTCCTCTACCCTTCATTTCCAAACCCCAAGGCCAGCAAGACAAAATGAATAATGTAAGAGGGTTTGAGAGCGCCCGGATGATCCAAACAGTTAACATAGTAGGCTGCTAATCAAAAGACTGTAGATATGAGTCTACCTAGAGGTGCCTCAAAAGGAAGGTTCAGCTATATACTTCTGAAAATCAGGCACTGGAAACTCCATAAAACAGTTCTACTATTTTGACACCCAAGGATTTACCATGAATGCTCCATAGATAGAACTGGTTTGAGAGAAATCAAGAGACTGACCAAGCCCTCTCCCCCCATTCTCAAATGTTTTAGAAACATTTCAGAACCACTTCTCAAGACACTGCAGAAGGGTGGAGGATTCTTCTAAGCTGATAACACTATTCTCCAATGTCCATATCCAGAAGAAAGTTTGAGAGAAAAGGCTTACTAGTCTTCATTCTCTATTCTATCCTCCTTTCTGTATTCTAATCCTTACCAATGCCTATTTTTGCGGGGGGTCCACTTTACAAAAGGGCTAGAGCTCAGAAAAGCCTGAGCTTCAACAGCTCCTGTTGTACACTGGATCCCAACTCAAAGCCATCCCATCAGACAAGAGTAGAACTGTCCCACAGAG